AAACATCCCGAGGCTGGAGGTGACATTCGAGCTCAGTCAGTGCAGATGTGGTGTGAATGGGAAAATAACCACCGTCGTTGGGCCCTGAAATTTAATTTATCTTCTCCACTGGAGCCGTTTTAGTGTTCAGGCAGGAACGGGAACAGATCGTACCTTCAAAGTCAGAGTCAGTACGGTCGGCGATCAAAAGACATCAGTTCAACTACGGAGGCAGTGCTAAAGCTAAATGTGCTAATTGGTGTCTTGCTTTTATAAAAGGAACTAATGAGACGTTTTCAGATGTTGGCCACTTACAACTGCACCTCTAACATGTTTTCTTTTTTTATTTATAATCTACATGAAGTCAGGAATAGAGGGAGAGGAGTTAAAGGCTAACCCGTGAGCTAAAGCTATGGCTAATTAATCAATCAATAAACACTTTCACCCAAAAAAAGCCCAGACTGACTGGCCTGTTTTCTTATTGACTGGATTAATATTGTGGTTTTATAGTCTAGCGGTGAGCATGGCTACCTCAGAAGCAACAAGTCCTGGGTTCAATTCCCAAAAATGTAGCGTGGTTTTATAGTCTAGCGGTGAGCACGGCTGCCTCAAAAGCAGCGAGTCCTGGGTTCAATTCCCAAAAATGTAGAAATTTGAAATTTGATTGAGACAAATATGAGCTGTGAATTTAGACTTTACAAATTATACCTACGTTCCTGGCTAACTCAGACGCATTATTTTCAAAAATTCTAACCAACATGTTGGTTACCATTTCTTTGCCACTGATCTGGGATATGTGTCACGTTGCCTTTTTTCTTTTCTCTTTAATTAGTTGTTGTCCTGGACACAACGTCTTCGGTCGTTACAAACACATGTGTAAGAGTTCAGGCAGCATTACATCAGTCTTAACCCAGTCTGTCTTCTATCCACCGTCACAGTAAACCCCACTGCTCTTCTCCCACACTGACAGACACACGGTGATGCAAACTCCTCCAGCTGAAAGCCCTCCGTCCTCCGCGGATGGTGCCGTATTATAATGAGTAAAGCCTGCCACGTTGGAGCAGACAGATTGCAGTTCCTTTGCATCAATCTGGTAAAGACGGCGTCTGCGAGCGCGTTGATGAGAAAAGTGTCTCATCGATTAGAGTTGACGTGTCTGCAGGACAAGTCCGTGTCCAACGCTGTTTGTTTCTGGTTTTATTTTTAGCTCACCGCCTTTTAATCCCGCTTTGGCACGATCCATCACAACTGACTTGAGGTTCCACCCAAGGGATTATTACACAACATCGTTCTCCTGTGACATTTGTCACCTTAATTCTTATTC